TATCACATATGTAAACAACATTCGTCATGAATGACTAGTCTTTTGAGCATTAACTAACATTTGTTGACAAAAAAAAAAGATTTTATTCTCTTATGGCTCTTTCTTTTATAATTTTTTTAACTAATTAATTATAATTTAATTAAATTTATATTTTATGCTCTATATAGAAATATGTTTTGGATCCGCCGAGACAGACTTCCTCTTCCATATTAGGGTCCAAATGTACCAACTACCAAGTGACTGTCTCCTCTATGATACCGGACCATAAACCAAATTCATCCAACCATAATTCTCTTTCAATTTGATCTATTCAACAATGACTCATGCATACTTTCTTTCCCTTATCTCATTTCCATATTCGAAATGTACGTAAACTCTAAAGGATGCACCCTTTTGTAGGAATATTAAAGTGGTAGTCTTTATTGAAATGAAAAAAATCTACTTTTCTTGAAGAAACATTTTTTAAATTAACTAAAAATGCTATACTACTATTTTAGAGTGACACATATATATAGGCCAACTAATTAACCACTGAAATGCAAAGAGGGGGTCTGAAAATCAATTCAGACATCTAAACGTGGTTACCTACCCAAGAGCTCACCAGTCTAGTATCCCACTCCCTTTATATTGAATCACTTTAGATTATTTTCTTTTCTAGCTCTTTCTTTTCAATTCCACTATATATTAAAAAAAAAATATATACAGGATCGTATTTATTACATCATATGCCAGTAAAAATATTATAAGAAAATCATTTAACTAAATTTTTTAAAAGTAAATTAAACTCACACAATCTACTAACATAGTAACACTAGCATATTTCTGGTTTTTTAAATATAGTTAAATACTGGTATACAAAATTATGGTAAGGTGTGTTGTAGACTTGTAGCTGTAGGAAATGAGCAAATGTGATTTTCTAGAAATGCCCTTAAACTACTTAGACTAAACAAAGTGATTCTAATGACATATCATGTAATAAAATATAATTGAAGGTTTTCTCTTAAAAAGTTACCCTTCTATTATAATAGCAAAATTATCTTTATCGAGATTTTTTGTTATTTAATATATTGATTTGGCTTTTAAATAAGGAGAATTTGGCTTTAAGATTGTTTTCGAATCTATAAATACTTAAAACAACAAACAATGTCCCAATATCGCAGTGTTCATAGCGAAACGAGCACACAACTCACTAAACACTCAAACAAAAACACTAATACAAACATTAAGATGATGATGATGATGAGCTTTAACACATCATTTCAAATCGTACTAGGCTTTATCGTCTTCATCGCATCAATCACTTTACTAGGTCGAATACTCTCAAGGCCCTCCAAAACAAAAGACCGATCTCGCCAGCTTCCGCCTGGCCCACCAGGATGGCCCATCCTCGGCAATCTACCCGAACTAATCATGACTCGTCCTAGGTCCAAATATTTCCACCTTGCCATGAAAGAGCTAAAAACAGATATTGCATGTTTCAACTTTGCTGGAACCCACACCATCACCATAACCTCCGACGAGATCACTAAAGAAGCGTTTAGAGAGCGAGACGCCGTTTTGGCAGACCGGCCTCAACTTTCCAGCATAGAGTTCATTGGAGACAATTACAAATCAATGGGAACCTCCCCGTACGGTGAACAATTCATGAAGATGAAAAAAGTGATTACAACGGAAATTATGTCCGTTAAAACGTTGAAAATGTTGGAAGCTGCAAGAACCATCGAAGCGGATAATTTCATTGCTTACATTCACTCGATGTATCAACGGTCAGAGACGGTCGACGTAAGAGAGCTCTCGAGGGTTTATGGTTACGCAGTGACCATGAGGATGTTGTTTGGAAGGAGACATGTCACGAAAGAAAACGTGTTTTCGGATGATGGGAGACTAGGAAAAGCAGAAAAACATCATCTTGAGGTGATTTTCAACACTCTAAACTGTTTGCCAGGTTTTAGTCCCGTGGATTACGTGGAAAGATGGTTGAGAGGTTGGAATATTGATGGTCAAGAGGAGATGGCGAAAGTGAATGTTAATCTTGTTCGTAGTTACAACAATCCCATAATCGACGAGAGGATTGAATTATGGAGGGAAAAAGGTGGTAAGGCTGCTGTTGAAGATTGGCTTGATACGTTCATTACGTTAAAAGATCAAAACGGAAAGTACTTGGTCACGCCAGACGAAATCAAAGCTCAATGCGTTGTAAGTAATTACAGTATAAGTTTTAGAAAACAGTGTATAATATACAGAGAAATAGATATCTACACTAAATAATATGATCATTATATTTGAATTCTGACCAAACAGAAAAAAATAAAAAATTCATATAAAATAGTAATTATATAGAGAGATAGATATTTACGCTAAATAAGATGATCATCCGAATAATTCTGACCAAAAAGAAAAAGAGAAAAATGTTAAATACTATTGACTAAAGTTGCGAGCTATAATAGTTACAATCATAATTTTGTACATAACATGTTAAAAGTAGCTTTGAGAATCTTATTCGATTTGGTTTATTATTTACACACACACACACATTGATTAACTGTTTATTGTTCTGTTTTTTTTACAGGAATTTTGTATAGCAACGATCGATAATCCGGCAAATAACATGGAGTGGACACTTGCGGAAATGTTAAAGAACCCGGAGATTCTCAGAAAAGCTCTGAAAGAGTTAGAGGAAGTAGTTGGAAAAGAAAGGCTTGTGCAAGAATCTGACATACCAAATCTAAACTACTTAAAAGCTTGTTGCAGAGAAACATTCAGGATTCACCCAAGCGCTCATTATGTCCCTCCTCATGTGGCCCGTCAAGATACCACCCTCGGGGGTTATTTAATTCCCAAAGGTAATATATATTATATGGAATGCATATGTATTTGTTATTTCCATAAGATTTAACTTTTATAACTAGCTAGTAAGTGTATGCATGAGTTTCATTAACAAAAACAAAATTCATTGTTTTTGTTTTTGGCTATATATTATACAACCTAGATTTTGTCGTACTTTTTTTGTTCGTTTTAAATACCACGACTAGTACGTTTATGTGCATGGGTTTCGTTCACAAAAACTCGATACGATTTTGCGTTATAGATTAAGAAATTATTGATTTTTGGACAGGTAGCCACATTCATGTATGCCGCCCTGGATTAGGCCGGAACCCTAAAATATGGAAAGATCCATTGGTATATGAACCGGAGCGTCACCTCCAAGGAGAGGGAATCACAAAAGAGGTTACTCTGGTGGAAACAGAGATGCGTTTTGTCTCGTTTAGCACTGGTCGTCGTGGCTGCGTCGGTGTCAAAGTCGGGACAATTATGATGGTTATGATGTTGGCTAGGTTTCTTCAAGGGTTTAACTGGAAACTCTACCAAGGTTGTGGACCGCTAAGCCTCGAGGAAGATGATGCATCATTGCTGATGGCTAAGCCTCTTCTTTTGTCTGTTGAGCCACGCTTGGCACCAAACCTTTATCCAAAATTCCGTCCTTAACAAGACGCCTTGTTTATTCTCTGTGATATTCTTCGACGCTTTGTCGTTTCTGTGTTATGTTACTTGACGTACTGTTGTTTATTGTTGTTTTTAGACTATCCTTTGCCAGAAAACGCTATATTGTTACATTCGTGTGTCTTCTTTTTTTCTGTATCTCCGTAACTTAATAATGAATATCAATCAATAATCCGGGCGCAACTATAACTTATGAGGTATAATGATAACCGTGTTTAATTGAAATGGTGCGAAGAATTAGACTACGTAGAATGTTTTTCATTATCAGGATAAACGTTGGTGACATGACACCGCCACTAATAAGAATATTGTTCATTATCAGGATAAACGTGTTCACCTACCCAAGGTAGTATTATTTATTTATTAAAATAATAGATATGTTTCTACGAAAAAAAAATTAAAATATTAGTTGTAAAAATATTTCGCTGGAATCCACCTTTCAATGTTGTATATACTGATGAAGTTAAAAAATGAATTGAATCAAAGTTGATGATAATTAACAAGTGATCAAGACCAGTTTAAGAAAAATCAATCGGATTCTTTGGTTAATTCCGTCTCATGTTCCAGTTTGCTGTTAATTAATAAGCGAAAGAAAAATGATTTTATCAGGAGTAATAAGAGGCTCATCCGGTAGGAGAATGGGAGATGGAAAGCCAAAGGTTGGACAAGTGTTTTAAAAGAGAGAGTCGGATGTTCAAAATTTTTGTAATAAAGGTCTTAGAGCACCCCAATGGTGGTTTTTATGGGTTTCATAAAAAAAATTCTTAAAGTTAAAAGTAATTAAAATAAATGAAAACAACAAATAAAGTTAAAGATTGTTAAGAGTTGGCTCTAATATAAAGATTGTTAAGAGGTTTAAGGATTGTTTGGAGTCCTATATGTGTCGTTTTCTGATTTGATCAAAAATATTAATAAAAGATAAAAAAAAATATGCCTTCAAATCTCAGTAATATGATAGACATTATATTCGAACTCGAGTTCGTGATCGGACTATACATCAATAATTGAAAGCTCATGTTAAGCGTATATGACAATAATTTGTTTTTTTATATGTATTTTTTATATGCTTTTATGTTTTGTATGTTTAATTTTTTTAGAAAATTGTAATATTTATTAAGTTTTATCAAATAAAAATGTTTATAGGTAAAATCTTGGATCCCTCCACTGTGTAGAGTAGATTCTTGACGCATGTTCATAGTCATAGTATTATATTCCCTTTATCTTTTAGAGGGAAAATTCCCCTTGTATTTGGTTAACTTTCTCATGTCCCATTCCTATATTTAAATCTTGAATATAGTCGTGTAAGAGCATCTCCAATGGTGAGAGCCCTCCATGGGCTCTCACCATTTTTTTAAGATTAAAATTTTCAAATTTATGAGATGAGAGCTTTTGTTAATTTTGCAACGTCCAATGGTAGGCTCTCTTTGTGGGGTTCTCAGGAAAAAATTAAATTATTTTTAATTTTTTTATTTCATAAATCTGAAAAATATTATAATTCATAACATATTAAAGATACAATAATTTCATACATTTGAAAATAAATTTGGAAAAAAAAAAACGATTAGTTATTCTGTTGATTGTTGCGAAATTTTCTCCATATATGCTCAACCAAATCACTTTTCAATTGTTGATGCATATTTTGATTACGAAGTTGATTTCGCATGCCCATCATATTCTCAATATTTGGAGGCATACCTGTAGAATACGATAAATCGACTTGTGAAGTTTGGTTTCCTTCAACTTGTAGGAATTCTGAAACATCAAACTGAGTGTTGTACCCATCTCGTTCGTCTTCGACTATCATATTGTGCAGTATGATACATGCTTTCATAATATTTCCAATTTTTTCCTTATCCCAAACAAGAGCTGGGTTTTTAATAATGTGAAAGCGAGCTTGCAATACTCCAAATGCACGTTCGACATCTTTACGGGCCGCTTCTTGATGTGTAGCAAATAAAGTGTCTTTCCGAGTTTGTGGTAGTCGAATAGACTGAAACTTATTGAAGTATTAGCAATGAATGCCAAGGTAAAGACACTAATTGTCTTTACCTACAATACTCCAACTAGAAAGCATTTATTTCAAAGAACAAAGAAAGCATTTACAAAAGCAAAAACTGTCCTAATCAAACACAAACCAAGCATTAATCACATAGCACACACTGGTAATTAAATGAAACAACCACTTTGAACTGTACCTTGATATAGAGGCTGTTAAATCGATGCCTTCTCCACTTGTGAGATTTGTCAGGTTCAACCACTCCATTTAACCTCACCAAAACAGAGACAAAGAAAGAAATATTAACATAAGATTAAAAATTCAAAATGATTCAAGTAATTACTAAGAGATATTGAATCAGGTTTTCAAAATGATCATGCCTCCGAGAAATACCAAGTATTAACCTTTCCACATGACTCAAACAAAGAAAAACCAGACTCTATGTGTGTTGGTTAATGCCTAAAGCAACTAGAGCTTGAAAGCTTAAACTAATCTTTTAATGCTTTGATCACGAAGTTTATATTTCAGAATAAAAACAGAAACTATTTATTAAGGAAGCTATACACTATATAGTCTCATATAATCCATAATTCAAGAATCAAAGCATTTTGAAGAAAAGATCTACATACATTAACGAAACTATTTACCATAAATCAAGCATGCTATGACTCAATTTGATTCAATCATGACAAGGAAATATCAATGAAACCCCTAATGAAACAATCCTGACTCAATTTGATTCAATCCGAAACCCTAAACCCAAAAAATCAAACATACAACGACTCCTCCTCACTTCAATCATGCCAAATAACAAACACATAGCCTCCAATTTAGTTAAAAAAACACCTTATCAATGCTTAGAACTGAAAACCCCAATTTTCGAAACTATGAACCCTAATTTCAAAAATTCAAATAACTCTAAAAAGAACATCAAATACCCCAAATAAATCATGATAACGCACAAAAGCCAAGCAAATGCTCTTACCAATTACGATCCAAGCTGAATCGATTACTCTCCATCCATTGAATTTGGATCTCCAATTTGCAGTGATCTCTCTCATTCCCGATCTCCACATGCGATGCATCATCATTCTCATTCCCGGCCTTAACCACTCAATTCTTCCCTCAATCGTCGCCGTCTGCCTCAATCGCCGGAGAAAATCACTCCAAATCGCCTTCGACATCGCCAACAAAGAAAGAAAGAGAGAAGCAGCTTTTGTTTTTTTTTTACGCGTTACTTTGTGTTTTTTTTTTTGTGTTTTTTTTTCTTCTTTTGTCTCAAATTCGACCAATGACAAGCTGCCACGTCATCGGTTCTCTTAACCCTCAAAACCTCTCACAAGAGAGCTGTCTCTCTTCTTGAATCTTAATTTTGATTTATTTTTGCAAATGTTTTTGAAGAGAACTCATTGAGAGAACCCAAAAAATAGGCCATTGGAGATGCTCTAAGTGATTAAACATATATTACAACACCACTTATAGCCACATACAAATCTTTAGATAACAAATATATATATATATATATATATATATTTAAGAAAAGTGTTCAAGTTTGTAATATGAGTTTATGGATCTAGTAAATAAATTGAAAGGAATTATACGGATTTTCTTAAATATTTTTTTAATGTGATAAAGAATTTTTTAAGAATTTACATTCTTTATTTTTTTAAACGGCCTAAAAGAATTCTACATTCAAAATACAAAACAAATTAAAACACTTTATGTGAAACAAAACTAAAGCCCTTGAAACAGAAGTACGTAGTATACTTTTCAAAAATCCATAAAGTTTTTACAGTTTTACTATTGCTACTCAAACTAGATATAAAATATATAAACGTGATTACCGTAGTACCTACCCAAAAGCCCAAACCCTACGTGAGCATCACATGCATGATATCGATTCTATAAATAATCAACACAACAAACACTTTCCAGATATCGCTATTGCTAACGAGCACACACCTCACTACACGCATACATACATGATGATGATGATGAGCTTTACCACATCATTACCATACCCTTTTCAAATCCTACTAGTCTTTATCCTCTCCATGGCATCAATCACTTTACTGGGTCGAATACTCTCAAGACCCACCAAAACCAAAGACCAATCTCGCCAGCTTCCGCCTGGCCCACCAGGATGGCCCATCCTCGGCAATCTACCCGAACTAATCATGACTCGTCCTAGGTCCAAATATTTCCGCCTTGCCATGAAAGAGCTAAAAACAGATATTGCATGTTTCAACTTTGCCGGAATCCGCGCCATCACCATAAACTCCGACGAGATCGCTAGAGAAGCGTTTAGAGAGCGAGACGCAGATTTGGCAGACCGGCCTCAACTTTTCATCATGGAGACAATCGGAGACAATTACAAATCAATGGGAATCTCGCCGTACGGTGAACAATTCATGAAGATGAAAAGAGTGATCACAACGGAAATTATGTCCGTTAAAACGTTGAATATGTTGGAAGCTGCGAGAACCATCGAAGCGGATAATCTCATTGCTTACGTTCACTCCATGTATCAACGGTCCGAGACGGTCGATGTTAGAGAACTCTCGAGGGTTTATGGTTACGCAGTGACCATGAGAATGTTGTTTGGAAGGAGACATGTCACGAAAGAAAACGTGTTTTCCGATGATGGGAGACTAGGAAAAGCGGAAAAACATCATCTTGAGGTGATTTTCAACACTCTTAACTGTTTACCATCTTTTAGTCCAGCGGATTACGTGGAACGATGGTTGAGAGGTTGGAATGTTGATGGTCAAGAGAAGAGGGTTACAGTGAATTGTAACATTGTTCGTAGTTACAACAATCCCATAATTGACGAGAGGGTCGAGTTATGGAGGGAAAAAGGTGGTAAGGCTGCTGTTGAAGATTGGCTTGATACGTTCATTACGTTAAAAGATCGAAACGGAAAGTACTTGGTCACGCCAGACGAAATCAAAGCTCAATGCGTTGTAAGTTAAATATAACTTTTATAAAAGAGTGTATGTATATACATAGAGAAATAGATATATACACTAAATAAGATGATCATCTGAATTCTGACAAGCAGAAAAAAAAAAAAAATGTTGAATACTATATATTGACTAAAGTTGCGAGATCTACGTATATATGTATATCTAGCTACATTAATTTGTTTGTTGTTCTGGTGTTTTGTTACAGGAATTTTGTATAGCAGCGATCGATAATCCGGCAAATAACATGGAGTGGACACTTGCTGAAATGTTAAAGAACCCGGAGATTCTTAGAAATGCTCTCAAGGAGTTAGATGAAGTAGTTGGAAAAGACAGGCTTGTGCGAGAATCAGACATACCAAATCTAAACTACTTAAAAGCTTGTTGTAGAGAAACCTTCAGGATTCACCCAAGTGCTCATTATGTCCCTTCCCATCTTGCCCGTCAAGATACCACCCTTGGGGGTTATTTCATTCCCAAAGGTAAAAAAGAAGAAGAAGAGATAAATCTTTTGCGTTTTTTCTCTAGTACTCAATATAACTAGTAAGTTTAGGCATGCGCATGGGTTTCGTTAAGAAATAAAAAATTTATGCATGGTTATTCTACAACATGTAAATTCTGTCGTACGTTTTTACCGATAGAATCAATAACACTTGATATACCTAAATATAACGTTTTTACCCCCTACTTTTAATAAATTTTATCTTTGGTACTTTTATTTGTTTTTTATATATAGCCTAAAAATAACTCTGACTATATTTCTTTTATTTTTTTATGTCAATTACTGTGTTTATATATTATCTTTTTTTTTTAAAAAAAATCTAGCTATATATTTCCTATGGTAGTTTTTACGTTTTGATTTTCTTGTTTTCATTTAATTTAATTTTCGCATCATATTCATACTTTTAGTAGGTTCACAGAGTAGTCTTTGATTGAGTTTGTGGTGATTCCACAAAACGTATTCAAGTTTGAATCCAGTCACGTTTATACATCAAACATCTAACCGGTTGAGCTAGCAGCATCTTGATATATATGATATGCGTTATATCTTAAGAAATGGTTGATTTTTGGACAGGTAGCCACATTCATGTATCCCGCCCTGGACTAGGCCGGAACCCTAAAATATGGAAAGATCCATTGGTATACAAACCGGAGCGTCACCTCCAAGGAGACGGAATCACAAAAGAGGTTACTCTGGTGGAAACAGAGATGCGTTTTGTCTCGTTTAGCACCGGTCGACGTGGCTGCATCGGTGTTAAAGTCGGGACGACCATGATGGTTATGATGTTGGCTAGGTTTCTTCAAGGGTTTAACTGGAATCTCCATAAAGATTTTGGACCATTAAGCCTCGAGGAAGATGATGCATCATTGCTGATGGCTAAACCTCTTCTCTTGTCCGTTGAGCCACGCTTGGCACCAAGCCTTTATCCAAAATTCCGCCCCTAAGAAGAAGAAAAAAACAAGATGGTGTAAGAAAAAAAAGAAGAAGAAAACCAGACGCCTTGTTTCTTTATCTGTTATGTTCTTCAACGCTTAGTCGTCTCTATGTTTTTTTTTGGTTTTAAAAAAATTTGGTTTGCTCGTTTCTATGTTATAAGTTTTGCTTGACGTAGTGTCGTTTGTTGTTGTCTTTTTCTTTTGTATCCCCGTCACTTCATAATAAACACCGATCAAACATTCGGAGTAGCATAGTTAATTAGTTATAACTTAAGAGGTTAATGATGGTCGTGTTTAATTGGAATGTTGTTAAGGATTAGAGTACTAAAAAGGTGAATCCTTAATAAAAATATCAATAAAATGCAGACCCTTACGTAGATAGGATCATAGAAATGTAACATATATATGGCACCACTTATTTTGTTCCCCATTACCAGGATAAAGGAACGTGTTTACACCCGAGGTCGTTAATATAGAATCTATCATAGATATTATGTTTGCTAAAAAGGAGGATTAATATGGAATCTATCATATACTGTATTAGATATTTACTAAAAACGTAGAAAAAATATATATAGTTGGTTGTCAGCATGCAGTATGGCTTTTGGTAACATGTCTTTTCATTTAACCGTCTTAATTAGTGATTTGACTCAAAAAATATATATATATATATATATATATTTGGTTATGTAACTTAATTGTGTTTGTAGACTTTTTTTTTGAAAATAACTAGATTGTAGAAAAATCTCATTGGAATTCAGCTTTTAGTGTTTGTATTGACAGATGAAGTTGTTAGAGACAAGAATATTGGAAACTTTAAAAGAATAGAATTAATTGAATCAAATTTGATGATATATAATTTTTCCCTGTAAAGAGAAGAAATGGAGCTAGAATTATATCTATAGCAGTCAGACTCCAAGTCTCCACCACCGTAATTGGATGCGACACTTTCAATGCCAATGTATATCATGATTCATATATGGCACATCAAATTATATAACACAAAAAAGCATTATAATATAAACGTGGTTACCAACCCAGAGGCCAGAGGCATCTCAAATCCATGTGACATGAGTATCACATGAATGACCATTTACCAATTACCATCACTCACTTCTCGTTTTCACAACTATTATTACACCAATCATGATTCCTATTCACGTTATCATCATCACCATATGTTTTTCAAGTGTATACTATAAATTATGGGTTTGAGTTCTATCAAGGCCCAATAACCCAAATGCCGATCTATACATCTTCGTCCAGGCCCACAAGGTCACACGGATTTACCGATGAGATCGCCTTGAGAAGCGTTTTAAGGAGAGGGACGCCTGGCCTGACATTTTCCTTATAACTTGTACAGGGGAAAGGTTATCGCAAGTGTTCTTAAGAATATAAAAAATAAAAATATTAAAAAGTAAGAGAGAGACATGAGCATGAGTTCTCATATGATAACTTTTGAGAATCTCTTCAGAAACTCATGTCAGACATGACAACATGCAATTAGTTTTAAAAAAATTTATTACTTAAAATTTAATTATACAATTAAACTAATTTATGTATATTATAATAATATATTTTGAGAGACTTTGAGAGAACCTTCCACTGCATATGCTCTTCTTTTCCCTCTCGCTAACAACACTGTTTGGTCCATGTTTTTGTTTTTCTTTGGCTTAGCTAATTGTCAACTATACATGAATATTGGGTGATCTTGCATAATATTTATTATTTAATTAGAGGTCAGCACGTCACCGTTACACATATTCCATATGTCAAATATTGAAATAATCATTGTGACTAAGTTTTTTTTTTCCCATTAATTCTATATTAAAAAAAAAAAAATTGTATATTACTTGAATCACAAGTCACTGAGAGACTTATTCAAACCTACCCCCCAAAAAAAGACATTTACATAAAAATCTTAAATCACAAAAAGAAATAACTTGAAATGCACCATCAAACAAAAGTCTTCAGATGAACTTCTTGTGTTTTAGCATATGAATGGTTTATTAACATAACGGTCATGACAATACAAGCCTGGTCGTTGACTAAACCCCCGTTTCTTGAGAAGCACTCTAGCTTCGGAAACCACTTCTTTGTTCGTAATCTTCTTCTTCTCCTTCCTCGGCGTCGACAATATCGTCTGAATCGCATCACTGAATGCCCCATAAGCTTTTCCAGTTCTTGTCACATAAACATCCTCTGATCTCTGATCTGTTTGACATCCACTTAACAGAATCCCCTTGTCGGCAATCGATCCTGGGGCTCCAGAATCACCTGCATTAACATCGAAGTTTCCTAGGTCACTTAAACCTCTCTGATGAATCGGGCTTGAGTCTTCACCGAATAATTTGAGAAGTGTCTGTCTGATTCTCCGAGATTCGATATTGGTTTGCCCGGTTTGTTGCTTGAGAAGACTTACGTAGCTTTCGAAAGGTAGATATCTAGTTTTTATATCAAACGTTTCATAATCGCTCGCTAATTCTATCTCTCCGCTAAAGCTTTCTTGGCCACCTCCACGGTCTCTCTGAGATTTTGAGATTCCACAAGTCGCTAACAAATTCATCACAATGCTAAGCAAGTAACTAGCAATCCCAAGTTTTGGCGGCTTCACATGGCTTTCGTCGATCTGCTCCTTTACCTCATTGATCGGCTTCACATGGCTTTCCCCAATCTGCTCCTTTACTTCCTCGATGAGACCACCACTGTGACAAGAGTCCGAGATTATCGTCAATTGACAGCCTTCTTTTACATGTGACACCATTTCTCTAAAATCATGGTCTACAAACACATTTGTGAAAAAATTAGAAAGAAAAAAACCGGAAAATAATCTAAAACACCAATAGTCATGTCATACCCTTAATTAGATTCATATCGCAAGGAGTGATACACTCGTCAAACCCTGTAGAGTCGCCTAATTCTCCTATCCCAGGCGGGATTCTCGTGCCATGTCCACTGTAATGAAAGACCAGAAAATCGCCAGATTGCCCTGATGCGATGAGTCTAGTCAATTCGTCGTGGATGTTCTTGCCTGTAGGTTGTATACATGATTTATCTGTGTCGATCAGTATGGTGATGTCCTTGTTAGCGAATCCGTAAAGTTCGATTAGGCATTTCTGCATCCGGCGGACGTCGTTGACACAGCCGCGTAACTCCACCGCGGTCCCTGGGTAGTTGATTCCTATCAAAACTGCTTTCTTCGCCATTGACGAATGAATGAATTAAACCTTTGTTTTCCCTTTATGAATAACATTTATTCATTTTATTTATAAAAGAAAGATTTCACATTTAAACTACCACGAAGGACAAACATTCTTGACTGTTTATTTTGCCTCTTCTCGTTATAGAAACTCTGTGGTTTGCTGTAATGGCCTTTTACGCCTCATTTTATATTTTTCCTTGGTCTGTTTTTTGGCTGGCGGCTATTTCCATGGTCTTTTTATTATCAAATTTTAATACAACTCCTATTATGCTCTTTGTAAAAGAAAGTATTAATGGACTATGGTCTATTTATTATTAAGGAAAAAAACATGAGTGCCATTAAGTTAATCATTTACATTCTTCCTAATATTTGCAATTCCCCTTTTAGGAAAACTAAATTATGCTCTTGACTTTTAGATTTTGTTTTGGTCTCATTTTGATATTTTGGTGAATTTTTTGGGTTGTTTACTTTTCACTTTAAAAAATTTTAAGTGACATAAAATAAAAATAAAAAAAAAACAAATGGGTTTTGAACACTATTGATTGGAATATGTACTAGCCCAATAGTACTTTTAGGCCTTTTCTGTCTCTTAAGCCTCCCATAGGTGGTTCCTTCGTTTCTGTGCAAACTGCAAAGACTTGAATGATGAACAAAGGCGGTGGTTCCGGTGGAGGAAGCGGACCGACGGCCGCCGCAGCCGCTGCTGCCTTACAGAAACAAAAGGCCTTGATGCAGAGGGTAGAGACTGACATCACATCTGTCGTCGATAACTTCACTCAAATCGTCAATGTCGCAAGGGTAAGTGATTTGATTGCAGTTCTATACTTACGATTGATCAGAATTCAATCTCTGCAGCATAGTTTCGATTGACGATTACCGTTCTTGGAAATTTGTTTGCAAAATTTTCGATTTTCGTGAACATCTTTGTTTTATTTGTAGGTGAGTGATCCACCAATGAAGAACTCTCAGGAAGCATACATGATGGAGATGCGAGCGTCAAGATTGGTAATTGATTCAAATTCGAATGATTATCAATTTAGGCAGATGCGATTAGGGTTTGGGGTTTTAGGACAGCAGTTGGGATCTGAAGCTCACATATATGAACTTTTTGAATCTTTGCAACATTCACTAGCTAATGAGTCTCCAAAATCTAATATATTTCTACTTTTGTTTTCAATTGGATTTGTTTTGCTAGCTTATGCACTCATTGTGTTTGTTAATTGAGTTCTTTATTAATGGTGTGGCAGGTTCAAGCAGCTGATTCTCTTTTGAAACTCGTATCGGAACTGAAGCAAACCGCCATTTTTTCAGGATTTGCATCACTAAATGATCATGTAGAACAAAGAACTGCAGAGTTTGATAAAGAGGCCGAGAAGACGAATCGATTGTTGGCTAGAATTGCTGATGATGCATCTGCTAGTCTTAAAGAGCTTGAGTCTCACTATTACTCTTCTGCTCAGAGATTGACTCTAGACATTTAAGGGGGTTTTAAATCCGAGAAAATGGCATTTTGTAGGGTTTTTTCTTCTTATTGCCAAAACTTTTAGGCTACTTTGTCTGAACAAACTCTGATTTACATATGAACATTTAACTTTGAAGCTATATTTAATCTGAAAGACCTTTTCTTCCTTCCACCATCCCCACTTTCTTTGGAATTCATAAAATACTTGTCTCCACTCATTGTTACCTAATCTTTCACATTACTTCTTAATTCCAAGCTTTTTCTCTTTTGTTCCCACAAAAAAAAAAAAAAAAAAAAAAAACAAATTAATGTACGACGTGCACACCTATCTTGGTAGACAATGAAGCTTTGTTATATTCGTGACAACAAGTAATGTCGGAAATTTAAATGATAAAAGATAGTTAACTCAAAGTTGATGTTTTAAGACAAGATATTTGTTTTCTTTTCCTCTACGTGGAAACCAGGACACTCTTGTTCAAGCTTTACTCGCCGGCGATGTTATTGAAACCCGGAAACAAGCTTGTCTCGCCGGAGGTAATTTTTATCAAAGAAAGTGTTAGGATACCTGTTAAGATAGGGATTAAGAATATATTTGTGATTAAGTTTATGTTTATCTATATTGTATGAACCGTGTATATATATGTTTCGTTGATGTAACTTAATGTGTTTTCTTCAATTCATTCTACTTTGACAGAAACATGTAAAGTTCATAATCCCATTGTCTTTTGTTCATGTGCAGACGAGTCATCATCGTGACTCTGCCTCAAACTCATCAAACCATAAATATCAACAACAAAAACCGCGTAAAGATAAGCAGAAGAAATTTGAGCAAAACACAAAGAAGATTGAAGAACATCTAATAAAGACAGAGCCGACTCTGTTAATTGGCAATCACAGCATTAACATGAGCTCACAAAGCAACAACAGCGAAAGCACATCCTCTAATAATTCCTCTAAGCCTCACACAGGAGGAGATATTAGGTGGGACGCAGTGAATTCCTTGAAATCTAGAGGAATCAAGCTTGGAATCAGCGATTTTCGTGTTTTGAAACGGCTAGGGTACGGAGATATCGGAAGTGTTTATCTTGTTGAACTCAAAGGCGCAAATCCGACTACATATTTCGCGATGAAAGTAATGGATAAGGCTTCTCTTGTGAGCAGGAACAAGCTGTTGAGAGCTCAGACGGAGAGAGAGATCTTGTCTCAGCTTGATCATCCTTTCTTGCCTACTCTTTACTCTCACTTCGAAACTGATAAATTCTATTGCTTGGTCATGGAGTTTTGTAGCGGCGGAAATCTCTATTCCTTGAGACAGAAGCAACCTAACAAGTGTTTCACAGAAGACGCTGCAAGGTTAGTATACAAACAGAGTATTTAGAAACAGAGAAAAATACATCTTAAGGGTTTTTTTTTTTTTTTTTTTTGGGCTTATAGGTTCTTTGCATCAGAAGTGTTGTTAGCGTTAGAGTATTTACACATGCTCGGAATCGTATACCGAGATTTAAAGCCAGAGAACGTACTGGTTCGAGATGACGGTCACATTATGCTCTCCGATTTCGATTTATCCCTCCGATGTTCAGTCAATCCAACACTTGTCAAATCTTTCAACGGCGGCGGAACCACGGGAATCGTTGAAGACAATGCGGCGGTCCAAGGATGTTACCAACCATCCACATTCTTCCCACGAATGCTCCAATCATCGAAGAAAAACCGTAAATCCAAATCCGATTTCGATGGATCATTACCAGAACTCATGGCAGAGCCGACGAACGTGAAATCAATGTCTTTTGTCGGAACACACGAGTATTTAGCGCCGGAGATTATCAAAAACGAAGGTCACGGAAGCGCCGTAGATTGGTGGACGTTTGGGATTTTCATCTACGAGCTTCTTCATGGAGCAACGCCATTTAAAGGACAAGGAAACAAAGCGACGCTTTATAATGTAATCGGACAACCTCTGAGATTCCCGGAATATTCTCAGGTTAGCTCAAAGGCAAAGGATTTAATCAAAGGTTTGTTGGTAAAAGAGCCGCAAAACAGAATTGCGTATAAGCGAGGCGCGACGGAGATCAAGCAACATCCATTTTTTGAAGGTGTGAATTGGGCGTTGATTCGTGGAGAAACGCCGCCGCATTTGCCGGAGCCGGTGGATTTCTCGTGTTATGTGAAGAAAGAGAAGGAGTCTTTGCCGGCGGCGGCAACCGAAAAGAAGAGCAAAACGTGTGATGAAGCTCAGAGCGGTAGTGATCCTGATTACATTGTTTTTGAATATTTTTAGCTATAGTCTCCCACCATTATACTATTTGTAACATCACGATACGTCGTCGTGCTTTATCTTTTTCTTTGAGATATAAATATTGGGCCGAAGATAAAGCCCAATCTAATTTTAGTTTTTCAGACCCCAAGTGTAAGAAAACATTTTTTTAAGAGCAGATCGACGAAGCTTTGTTTTAAAAAACTCTGCAATGGCGGCTGGGTTCTTTCAAGCAGAGATGTCAATGTTATCCTCTACGTTGGCGCGCTCATACTCAATTCCTATCCGCAAAACGCTTATGACCTTCGGTTTTCGAATTGCAGTGCAACGAAACCCTTGTCCCAGAATTCGACGTTCTCGTGTAGCTGCTTTTAGCTCGTCTCCTTCGCATTCACGAGATTTTCCAATTCGAGGTGAAAATATTTTACATTCAGCTACCCAAAACTGTTTTTAGAAAGGAATCGAGTTAGATACGGAGCTTCCGGATCGTACTTAGTGTTTTTGTGCTTAAAGTTGAGTCTTTTCCTCGTTTCAGGAGTAGAGGATGTTTTTGTTGGTTATCTATTTGGGAGGAAGAAGGCAACAGAAGTAGCTCATGTGTGCGTACATTAAACCCACAACTTGAATTAATAATAACAAAAAAAAAAAGATTTTTTATTCCTCTTCACTGCTGATTATCCTTTCAGTGTGTGGGAGCAGGTAATCCAAAAGGGGGATATGGTCATTGATGCTACGTGTGGAAACGGGAACGATACTTTAGCAATGTTGAAGATGGTTATGAATGATTCTGTTGGTTGTGGTGGCTATGTCTATGCTATGGACATTCAAAAAGATGCCATTGAGAGCACTTCATCTTTGCTGGATCAAGCCGTTGGTTCCAAAGAGGTTAGATGATTACCAGAGCTCGCTTTCCATAGCGGTGTGGTTCTTACTAATATTGAGCCTTGTTCCATTTCTGCTGAAGAAATACAGAAGGAATGCGTCAAACTTTTTAACATTTGTCATAGTAAAATGGGAGAGATTGTCCCTGAAAACTCCCGTGTGAGGTACCGTGTAAATTGTTGACTCCGATGCCACATTTTTGATGAATCCCTGGCAAAAAAATTCCTCGCTTAAACAGGTTTGGTTAGTACGCTGCCTTAGGTTTTCACTTCGAAATCTTTTTATGATGATCTTTAGGATGGTTGCATTCAATCTGGGGTATCTTCCAGGGGGCAACAAGTCGATAATCACTGTCTCGGATACAACATTATCGGCATTGAAGGCTGCTGAGAGAATTTTAATGCCCGGTGGCCTCATCAGCTTGGTGGTTTACATTGGCCATCCTGGTGGAAGGTAATTTAAAAATGCTAGCAAAATTTCTCTGATGATCTAATGAGATGTGAAGTTTCCTAACATACTTTGCTCCATGTTTCTTGTTGTTGTGAATTGGTTCGGTGTTCAAGAGAAGAGTTAGAAGTGGTTGAAGCTTTTGGGTCGGGTTTACCGGTCAGTGATTGGGTCTGCTGCAAATTCCAAATGTTGAACCGACCGTTAGCTCCAGTTCTTGTTTTCATGTTCAAGAGAGAAAACTGAAAAACTGATTTATTTTGATCTACCAGAAGCTTTGTATGGTTAATCTGAGAGATTATATGGTTACTATACCCAATCTATTTTACCTTTGTTGATGGAAGTTTTCAAAATCTGTTTATTACGCAGAGGAGAAGAGGTTTATGAATGAAAAAAGTTCATTGTTAACATAAATTAAAAAAACGACCACGGTGGGACTCGAACCCACAATCTCCCGCTCCGGAGGCGAGCGCCTTATCCATTAGGCCACGCGGTCTTTTTGACAGTCAACTACAATTACATTTATATATCTATTCCTCTTTATAACAATCCATGAAACTGAGCAAGTGATATGCAACACAAAATTGTGTAACAGACAACAAGAACATAAAGACTTTTTATCAATCTCCACAGAGAAGAGACCAAACTCAAGAATCTTGAATACTGATGTATAATAATAACAAGACAACCCTCCCAGCAATTGGCTAAAGTTTAACACAGAAATGGATTGAACCAAGCTAAGCCTTATGAATATCAACTGGCTTGTGATCTTGTAGCTTTTTCTTGGACTTTCTTATGAAGAAGAACCCACTATCGGCAAGTTTGGTACGGTTGCCCATTCAGTCCAAGACCCATCATAGATTGCCACATCGGTTTTTCCCAGACGATAAAGTCCCTGACCAGTAAAATAAAGAGGAATCAGTCTTCAGTTTTAATCATATGATCACAGATTCACAGTATATGAATGAATTCTAGATCATCATTTAGTTACCAATGCCAAAATACAAGCTGTTACACCGGTTCCACATGAGGCCACGATCGGACTGTCCAGAGAAATGTCTGCAGATAAACGGATAAGGAATTGCATAGAAAAAATACTTGAGACTGCATTTTGTTTTACCTTCTTGTTCAAACCGCTTCTTCAGCTCCTCTGCTGGTAACAGTGTTTGAGAGGAATCAAACATCTGCATAAGAATATATTATCAGTTTATCATGTCTGGTTTCAAAGAGCAAAGATAACGGTAAGCCCTTCAAGTTAGACGGTGGTTTACTTGGGAAAAAGGGACACACTTGCTACCGGGTATATGACCACTCGTTATACCCTTCCAAGGTTCTGGAGCAATACCGTCAAATCTGTGAAACAGAGTAAATTCTATATGATGACAGATATAGTGAAATTAAACCATTAGCATCGATATTATAGTGAAATTACAATCCAGAACAAGCAATAAATTTGGCATGATACCTAGCCTTTGAACGCGCATCGATGTGCTGATAAGTCTTATCCTCGATGTTTTTCTTCACCTGTCAATTATCCAGTTAGCTCCCCTAGTTTACTAGCAACTATCTATAAACTTTAAATCTA